TTCCCCTCCCCTCTCCCCCCAATGTAAATACAAAATATAGGGAATGCAAAGAAAGGGAAGCCACGTTCAGCATTAGTTTAGAATACGCTTAGATCTTTTCAGGTCTGAATTTCTGAATACATAGTTCATTTTGCCTGAAGCTGTCATGGCTTAAGAACAAGGTTATGGCCATCATTCCCTCCCCAACACCTGCCCCTTCCCGAGCAGCTCTGGTTTCCCTGACTCTTTAGGAATTTGACTGAGCCTGGTGTCAGGAATGCAACATTTGGATGGATATTCATGACAGCAAATGTGGGCAAAATTCAAACATTTAGGAAATCGGATTAGACGTGCTTGGTAGCACTTTGTATGCGCTTAGCTAGGAAAAAAGCATCATTGGTACGAAGCATATTTGGACCTTTTGCATCCAATAATGCTAAAGGCCTTAGCCTGTGGCTGAAGGGTGACCAACCACACCTGGTACAGGAGGGTCACCACAGGTTTGCCTTGTGTTGGCTGCTGTAGTTTGCACACTGGGTGGGAAAGCCAGCGTCTTCACTTGGCTAATCTTTGACCTGTCCTACCAAAGTCTGAGGACAGGCCAGAACTAAACACCAAAGGTTAGAGCTAGGCATGGCCATAGATGAGAGCTAAGACTACTGAAAACCTGCTGCCGTGAGAAGGTAGGTGGGGAGTGAGCAGAGTAAGCACTGGGACTAAACGTAATAGGGACTGGAAAGGATAATAAATAGCTATGTTTGCAAAGCCACTTCTTTCTTAGGCTGTGGTCAGTCCGATCTGCTAATTTTACAATCATTTTGTTGTCTGAACCCATTGGCCAGGTGTGTTTCAACAGCTCGCCAGTCTGTGATGGAAGCAGTTTGTCCTTCTGTCATCTGAGGATGCGGAAGGTTTTAAACCTGCAGCTGATGCACATGGGCGTTGACACAGTTTTTAAGGTAGTGTGCTGTTCAGATCACTTTTGCAAGAACATTTACGTACCAGCTGTGGAAGGAAAGCTGTTTGAGCCACGCAGCGTTCAGGAAGTGACAGAATTAAGCTTGCTCATGCAGAGTTGATCTCTGTCTTAATGTACAATCGTTAGCCAGATGATTAGATTCTCCTGTTTTGTTCAGCATGCAGAATAGATGCTGCTCAATTAATAATCAGCTCTTCAGTGTTTTGTTTTCTTACCCAGTGTGTGGCTTAGGCGTTACTTAATGCACACGCTACCCAAGCCCTTGTGATAGCAGAGTTCCTTCTTGGGACTACTGTGTGTGCACGTGCTCAGTTGCTTGGTCTGCAATGCAATGGACGCCTGACTGGTTTGGTGCCTTGTCTTCTCTCTGACCCCTATCTTTGCTGGTACGTGATGTATCTTCACAGTGTGAGCCTACTGCTCAGTGCTTGCTTTCTACTCAAAATGTCTGTAGTATTTTTTGTCTTACAGGCTGTATCTGAATGTGACATATGTAGTGTTCCTGGTAGCATCTTTCTCCTGCATATGTAGGTCATTTTCTGAGCAGAGGAAACAAGATTGTACACAGAATTAGGCAGGAGTGAAAAGCGCTGACATATGGTTCAGGGCTCCCCTGGTGGGACTGGCTTCTACTGGCAGTAAGGTCCAGTAGCAAATAACAAAAATAACCAAATTTGACCAAAGGACTTGCATCATCTAAGTACCAGCTCTGTATGATCTTTACAGTGGTTAAGTAAAGGTCCACCATATCAGCTGGACCACCATGTGTGCTCTGAAAATATTGGAAAAGAACCAGTATGACCCCTTTGACTTTTTTTTTTTTAGTGTACTACTGAGCTTTTTCAGGTGCTGTGTATTTTTATCTTGGAAAAAATTACAGATTAATCTCCTCCCTCCCCGCCCCTCAACCTCCCAGTCCCCCTTGTGGGAAGCTCTAAAGCTTCAGTCTGTTTTTATAAGTGAGCATCCAGCAGATTTTTATAAACGAGTTTATACTTTAGTACATTTTGGAGGGGAAAGTCATCCCCGGCCCCCAAATATGTTGTGCTGCTTCTGGCAGATGCTTGTAATGTTGAACCCAGAGGTTCATAGGCTATTTTTTCCTCCAGAGACAGTGGTTTGTTAGTATAAGCTTGCAGTGGGGATGGAGGGGAATGGAGAGACAAATAGCCACGTTGTTGGAATCGACTCTTGTACTGCCACTGACCATGGATGCTCACCCAAGCTTCCAGGCTCTGTAGCTGCTGACATTACTGTGTGTGCTCGGGGTTGGATCTCTGCATCTTAAAAGCTTAATCTGTTCTTGTGCAAAAGCAGCTGGGAGGGTACATTAGCTTCTGACTGGAGCTGTGATCTTGCAGGGTACCAGGAGCACATTAAGATGAAAAACTGTATCTTCTGAAGTCCTCTAATTTCGTGTGTGTTGGACAGGACACAGTGCTGTGCTCAGGTCACTGTCATGTCAACAAGCACTGACTCCCTTACTGTTTTGTCTGATGGTGTAATACAAAAAGATCAGCAATTTATACAGAAGTATTGCTACCTTTGGCAAATATTATCACACAGTTACATCTGAGATAAGTTTTGGACTTTTGATTCTCCTGGTAATTGTTTCAAGTCATAAGGGTGGTGATAGGGTTTTTTGGTTTGGTTTTGGTGTTTTTTTTTTACCTTTGTTTTGGGCTTTCTGCTGTTGTTTTTATAAACCTTGAAATTGATTTTCTGTCTCTAAAACATGGGAATCTTGTAAAATAGTTTTCCCTGTATTTGGTCAAACTGTTCTATCAAAACATAATTCCTGTTGTATTTTAATTATTTTTGTTCATTTTGGAAAAAATACAATGCATCCAGTTCATGTGTGACATAAAATTGAAACTTTTACGATCCTCTTACTCCTTATAAAAAGGGAACTGGAGGGAAGCTTGCAGTGTCAAACACAAGTGTTTCCTTACCTATCTTGAAAAATTCACAGGTGGGCTTATTTTCAAAATGCTTTGTTCGCTACAGGAAAAAAGAAACCAGTGGCATCCCCGTACTGTGATGTTAAAGATAGCACATCATTCAGCTGGAACTCCTGAATTTGAGTGACTTTTTTGTCCAAAGCTTATCCCAGTCCCATCAGTGGAGGCACAAGGCAGGACACGTGAGGACAGTCCAAGCAGGAGATTTGAAGTGCTAGCTGCTGTCTTCTGCTGCGCACTGTCAGAATATGCACTTAATTTTTATTCTGAGCGTAGTAATACGTACTTTGCCAGTTGTATCCTGAGAAGCAATCAAAAAAGTAAAACCACTGAAAATAGATGCTGAAAAGGATGTTTTTAAATTATGTTTTTTTCTGATCTCATTATCTGTAGCCTTCAAGATAATTAATTAGAGCAGCTGTATGCTCTTAAGTGGTTTTTGTAATAGAATATATTGTATTTTTAAATACATTAATTCTTTTAAAAGGTAGTATTTTAGGAATCTTAGGGATTATTTCATGGAGCTGCTGAAAGCCTAACACCAGCAACTGCTAAAAATCAGGGGAGCAGATTTCTCCCTTTGGTTTTGGTTTTTTTTTTTTTTTTTGCAATGATTATGCCTGTGAACAAATAGCAAGAGAAGCAGTTATTAAATATGTTGTAGAGATCTTGTGCAGCACGGCTCTGGATGAGCGACATTTCACTGCTTCAGCTAAACTATCTTTCTGTAGGTCTTATGATGCAACTTGAATGCAAATCTTCTAAAATATATTTTGCTTATGGTAATTGAAGAAATGAAGCTTTAAAAAACACACTTTCCTGTTCTTTCAATTTCTGATCTTCCTCTGATTTGTTTGAGGTTTTAGACATGTGCTTTTATTAAGGATTTATGCAAAGCAAATGCCTGTTCTGAAGGTGAATTTTTCATATGTGGTTTCTTGTTTTGACTGTTTATATACACTCAGTCACTGAAGTTGGGTTTCTCAGCTTAGGGAGTCTGTCTCTTTTTCCTTTGCAAGTCCCTTACAGATGTGCTGCCTGCGTGGATGAAATGTCATGCCGTGGCCTCGGAGCCCCCCACATGTCTGGCTGGCTGTGGATGGGCCACAGCATGCTTTCAGCCCTGGTGTTAGCAAATGTCTTCCCGCCTCCCCCTTGGTTTGGTCTTTTACTTGGCTAAATAGCAAGGGTATTTGCCTGTTTTGAAACTGGGGACAGACTTTCTTCTCATGTTCCTCCCCTTAAAGCAGTGAATCCTGTTTGAAGTCCCACGTGTGCCCTAGGGATTGCTCCTGGGTTGACTTCCCTGGGAGTTCAGCCATCTCTTTGTGTGGCCGTTGTGTTAGTGGGCAGTTGTGTGGATTTAAAAAAAAAAAAAAAAGGGGGAAGAAAACATATGCTTATTGTAACATGCAGCTTTTTACCTTGGGCTTGTCCTTTAGTTGTCCCTCAGGGGTCTTTCACCCCCTCCCCTAGAGATGGGTCTTCCAGTTGGTATATTCAGGAGCTGTCACCCCAGCTTCTCTACTTTAACTTTCTTCCTCCCTCCCTGATTTTTCCAGTGAAATTCAGCAAGGGAGCAGCTCTCTGGAGGAGGTTTGCCCTCTGTGGCTAGTCTGAAAGGCTTTTTGGCTTTCATTAGAACTGATGTTTTCCAGAAGCACCTGGCACCGACCTTGGGGCTTGTCCTTTGCTGGTGAGCGTTTTACATCAACGAGCGCGTTCTACTGCTGTTCCTGAGTGATGAGGCAATTTCAAGGCAAAAAAATTTTCCAGGCAGTGTGGAAAACCCCAGTGATACCTGATGCTTTTAGCACATGGACTCACAGACACTCTGCAAGGCTGAGCAGTCTTAAGGGAGAAGTGGGGTTTCCCTGGGAGGCAATTGCTTCAGGCCTCAAATCCAGAACTTTCTGGTCTCTTTTCAACACTGTGTATTTGGGAAGGTTTGAGTTTTCACAGGTCTCATGCCAGCTGGTAGCATCGAGGAGCTCTCTAGTCTAATCAGCAGCCAGCCAAGCACATACAGCTGCGTGCTCAGTCATCTCTGAGGCAGTAGTGAAGTGATTGTCGATCTCCAGATGATCGACACAAAAGCAGAAGATGGCAGAAATGGTGGAGGACCTGCTGGGTAAACAAAAATGTGTATCCAAAATTAGACTCACCTGTCAGTTGCCCATATTTTCATAGTCTAGACAAAAACTAGATAGCTTTAGAAACCTATACCATAAGTGGGAGCCCTAAGGCAAGCGTTTTCCAGCCTTTTCCCAGAAGTGGGATTTTCTGCAGGCTAACCTTTTTTGCATCAGAATCATAGAATCGTTTAGGTTGGAAAAGACCTTTAAGATCATCAGGTCCAACCATTAACCTAACCCTGCCATCCCACCACTAAACCATGTCCCTAAGCACCTCATCTACCCATCTTTTAAACACCTCCAGGGATGGGGATTTGACCACTTCCCTGGGCAGCCCATTCCAGTGCCTGACAACCCTTTCGGTGAAGAAATTTTTCCTAATGGACTTGGGACAGAAACAAGGAGTAACAGCCCTTCTGTTTCCCTTTTCTTTCAGTCCAGAGCCTCGTGTGTGGTTTCCTTCACTGTTGCTTCTCTTGCAAGCTTTCAGGGAAGCAAAGCCAATAATTGTGGTTTTAATATGCCAATGGACATAATCACTTTAGGGAAAGGTAGATTATTTTCCAGCAGCTGGAAGGAAGTATTAGGGATATCTTTTTGTGTTTAGCCACAGCTCTTCTACTTTTTCTGTAGTACCCTGGAAACCCAGGGGAATGTGTTCCAACTTGGAAAGAGCAGAAGAGCCTGCCTGGTATTACATACATGTATTGCCCATGCTGTGGGGCATGTGGTCTTCTAAAGTGAGCGCTGCTCAGAGACAAACATCTACTGAAGTGATCACTGGCACATGCCAATGGAAGAAGGTCTTTAATTTCTGACTGCTCACAAGAAATTGTCTTCTGTTTTTTCTCTCAAATACTTGTTTTGTACCAGAACAGCACAGAAACCGTACAAAGCCTTGAACAATCTGCCTTGCTTAGTAACTTCTGACAGTTTTCTGGTATATTTTTGTAGTTTTAGCACTCCTACTCTTGGTTCACCTTTGAATTTAGGCCTACTTGAAGGCACCAACAACTTTAAATTCAAATCCATCTTGAACTGATCGCACCTCTAATGAATAGGTGGATGTAGGATTTTTGAGTTGGTTCCCCCGCCCCCCCCAGCCTGTTAGTTGTTCCTGCCTGACTGTCTTTTCTTCTTGCTGACAGAGTCATAAAAACATGAAAGTGATCTTAAGTAAGTGTCATTAAATGACTTCATGTTGTTAAGGCTGATACATGGACTATCAGAGCAGTGCCATCATTCATAAGTTATCAATCACATTTATAGAAGAAATAAGTTAGGTATTGGTAGTATTTGAAAATGGTAATAGTTATCTTGGTTTGTGCCCTGCTCTGAACTGCTTTCTGCAGTTCAGCCAAGGTCCTGCTTTGGCATCTGTCCCGCTTCCAAGGGCAAGAGAGGAGCAGAGCTACAGGTATTCCTCCTTTTCCCTAGTACAGTACCAGGGCAGAGCTGCCCTGCCCCGAGGAGCGGGAAGGCAGAAGGAGCACTGGTGCCACCCTGTTCCCATGCCCTGCGATGCAGTTCAGCCTCCAAAGCAAGACCAGACCAGCTGGTGGAAATGGGGAGCTCCTGTTCCCATCCCTCTGGTTCTCCCCCCTTAAATTACCATTGATTCTTGTCCAAAGCATGTAATAGTACTACAGTTCTCCGTAGTTATGTGTGATTCTGTGGGTTTTTTAAACAATATGCAAGACTCTAATAGTATGGCCCATTTTTTACAGCTCTGATCCTGAAGGGACTGGCAGTACTGAACCTGGAGAAAATACAGTTGTTGATTTACTGTCTGTTCAGCTGCACATTCAGAAATGGATAGGCAGTCAGGGTTCAGTAATTTCTTTAAGGAAGAGTTAGATGATGCTGAAGACAACTACCTTCTGAGCGTGTTGCAGTTTTCTCTTGCGCTGCTGAACTGGCAGTTGTAGCACAGGCTGCAAAATTGTCAGGGAATTATGGAAGGAAAAAAAAACCTACCATCTTAAAGGTGCCCTTTGTTGGAAGCAAAAGCTGTGCATTGAAGCTAATAAATATACTTAATAAATTACTTATTCCTGAGCTTTTTATAGGAAAAATGGTAGATAACTAAATATATTGATGAAAGGTACGACAACGAGGCTGGAGCAACTTCAGAAATCTATAAAGATAACTGAAACACAGAGCCTACAGCGGGAGGGAACATTTGTGCTGCCTGATTGAGCATCTAACCAGAGTGCAGTTGGGAATGGGGAGAGTTGGGAGCCTAAGTTCTAGTGTAGTTGATGGAGGATGGTATATCAGGATCCCAAAGTCAGATGCTTCAAGTCAGAGCTAGTACTCCTTTGGAATCTACTTGTCCAACATGTGATACTAGGAGAGAAACACAGCTTCTTATGGTATTTTTTGTGTGATTAAGGTTCAGGTCAATGTGCTATATTTGTTATTCCTAGCTGTATATGGACTTACTCTGCCTAACTGTTATTTTGAACCTAGTTTTCTGTTTGTAGCTGTCCACCTAGGAAGTTTTGCTTAATATGTGAGGTTAAGGAGATAGATACAATTGAAGGGACTTGCCACTAAGTACTTGTTCTCTTGATTGGGTTGGTTAATTTTTTTAGGGTTGTTGGTTGGAGCTATGATGGATCCTGGGGACAGTCTAACATCTGGGAAAGGCAGTGGTGGTAATAGATGAACTAGAGCACAGCGAGCATGGAGGTTAAGACCAAAGCTGTGTGTACTTTAAGCATGCACTTCAGCAAATGTTTGCATATAAGTGACCTTTTTTGTTTATTCACAGGTCCTTGATTATTGGACTGTTGAGGTCAGTACTAGTTATGTCAGCACAGGAATGGGGAATCTGCCTGAGGGGAAAAGGTAAGTCTGGTGTTATTCACTATGGAGCTCAGCAGCTAGGTCTTTTGCCTGGTAGACTCCCTGCTCCTGCATTAATCACTGGCGCTGCTGACCTCACCAGTCTGATGCACGTTGGAACAGCCCTGTACAAATGAAAAGCCAGAGCCACCCAGACAACTTCATCCCGAAGATCTTGAAGAAAGGGGTGGAAAAGAGTAAATGTTGTATATGGGCATTAAGGATGTTTTAGCCCAGCAATTCAATCACTGTGGTAATATTCTGAGCTGAATACTGGGGTCTGGTTTTATGCTGTATGTAGTTCTTGGGTAGCAGGAGAAATAAGGTACAGAACGTAGATCCTTTCCCTTGTAATGATTGACTGGCACATTCCTGGAAAAAATCATTGGTGCATATAGCAGAAATCTGGGCACACACTGAGTAGAGCATTACACAAATAATGTCAACTTCTCTTTTAGTGAGTGGGAATGTGCTTAATAAATTCTTTGAAAAGTTGGACAAGAAGGTACTATTTATCTTAAAATCTAACTTTGGGGCAGGGCGCAGTAGTGGTCTACACCTGTATGCTCTATGTGATTCTTACTGTCCTGCAGGTTTAGGGCTTCCCTCATCTCCTGACTCCAGTCTGCAGTTTTACTAGCTAGGGTAAACAAAATATTGTGGTGTTCAACAGTGTGCGTGCTTCTGAAGAAGCTGTAGTTTCAAGGCATAATTTTTAGGTCAAGTTCTGTTGTTGTTGCTTTGCTTTCTTTCCTGTCTGCTGATGGTGACTTCAAAGTAAGAAAAGATGCAGCTTGTGTTTTGGCTTTGATTCTGCCTGTCCCCACCTATTTCTAAATCTTCCTTCCCTGGGGTCAAAAGCTGTCTGTTGTATCAGTCTGCAGGGCTTCTCCCTGATTCAAAGTTAATTGCTTTGCCTGACACCCAAGTACTATCTGGGTGATTAATCATTATCCTCTTAGATGTGGAGTGCTCCCTTAAAACCTCATGGCTCAAGACCAGCAGGCTTGTCCCCTCTGTAATACCGATTGTATCTTTAGCAAGAGCTGAGCCACCTGTTTAGAACATTTATGTTTAGTTTATTCAGAAGTTAATTCTCGGTAATTCACCCTGCAATGGTGAAACTTCTAAGGGACTGTGTGTGTGTTTTCTGGTTTTTCTTACCTAGAATCTTAACCTGTTTCTGGCTGGCTTAACGAGAGCCTCTGCTCATGGTCATACGCTCCCTTGTATTTTTCATCCGTGAGTATGGATTTGTGTGTGTGACTGTTTTAGGTGGCTTGCTGAGGCATAAATCCCTATGGTTGTGTGCAGGTGGGATGAGGGCAAGCCTGGCCTGTCTGTTAGCCTGCTGTCTCCAGCTTTTGTAATAATTCTGCTGTTCTTCCTAGAGGCTCTTTCCAGGCTACATTAAATGAAACTGTGCATGCTAGGTGTGATGGGGACTTCTTATGGACCACTTTGTTACAGTCAATCTATTCTGTTTTTCAATTTGTCTAGCTGCAAATGGCTTCTTATCCCCATGTTTCCACTATGAGGGAGCTTCATTTGGACCGGGATATAGGGAAACCTTGCACTGGTGCAAAGAAGGGGGAACTGGAAGTGTGAGTACTAAGGTAGCACTACTTGAACCCCAGTAACTCCTCTGCCATGCTTATCTTTCCTGGCCCATGTTCGTGAGAAGGAATGTCTGATCCAGGCCTCCTAGACAGGAATGTTGGGAAGTAGGAACCCAGACATCTGGAGAACTCCGCATGTGCGCATGCGCAGGAAGAATTGAGTAATGAAATTAAATTGTATTAGTGGATATTTTAATTAGGAGTTGTTTGTATTTTTGCGGTGAGAAAAAAATGTGGTTGAAGGTGGCTATGCAAGAGGATAACGTAAACCAGTTGTGCAGATTTTCAGGAGTAGTGTGTTGGGAACAGTGCTCGGTAGGACAGGAGAAGGTAGGAACTGGTTTAGGGTACGGAGCCATTCTTTGTGCTTCTTTAATTTTTTTTTTTTTTTTTTTTTAATCAAGTGGGAATATGTAGTTCTTGGCTCAATTCCTCCTTCTTTGCTAAATTTTTATCAAGTAGGGAGGTGTGTTTCTTGGCTTAGATAATGTGGACTTGTATGGTCTAACACCCGCACAGCGTAACTGGTTTTAATCTGTGCTGTGGCAATGAGCAAAAGAGGGAACTTCAAGAGGCCTGATTTGGCACTCTCACCAGTTTTAAGCTAGTGTGAGTCCATTGATGTTACAGCAACGCTAACTTCTTTACCTCGTGGTCTTGAAAAACTACTAATTAGTGCAGTACTTCACAGGAGATATGAGTCTGTTCATCAGGTAATCGTAGGTTCATATAAAATCAAGTCTGTAAGGCAGTTTTGGATGTCGTACTGAGCTGCAACTGAAAAATACAACTTTAGGCAGATTTGCTAGAGAAGTTTATACGACTTTTAAGCTGATATTTGAAGACGATGCTCATCGTATTTCTTCATAAATGCTTATATACATCTTCTATGATATTCTTGCTTAAAGCAAATGATTCAGCTAGTTGTAGTAAAACATAAAAATGCCTGTGTGCATACTTCTCAGCCTTGTACAAATATGTTCCCAATGTAGCTGATTCATCCAGAAGCAATGTATGCCTCTCTTTGTTTGGATTTTTGTTTGTTTTACGTTATCAGCCCTAAAATACATGCATCCCTAAAGCAATAATAGGTTGAGAAGTGTTTGGCCTATTGTGTCTCCTTTTCACAGTTGCTCTGTGTTCTTTGGTTTGGATTTCTATTTGTCATGCATTATCAGTCACTAAAATGCATAAACCCCTGCAGCAATGATAGACTGAGAAGTGTCTGGTCTGCTGCATTTCACTTTCACAGTTGCTCTGTGTGTTCTGTACTCTGTAAATTCATCCTGTTACAGGATCTGTAGCCATCGGTTTTCTAAGTCATGGTAAATTTTGCCAATGCAAATACCAGCTTGGGTTTCCTGTCCTGGCAGCTGGAACCCATCGTTTGCTTGTGTGCTGTAGAAGCAATAGTAGCAAGGATGCTATTGCAAGAAAAAAATACTATTTCATGCTGATACAAAGAGCTGGAGACACATAGCCTTGAACTCCTTTTGCCGTAACATGAAGTTTTTTGTCATGCAGTTTTATAGCCTCAAGGCTGAATTATAACAAGCCTTATGTTAAAATAAGTTAAATACATGCACACGGTTGGTTTACTTTGCCACTCAGAAGGCTTTCTAACTTTAAATACTGCAATAAGAAAATGTCTTTTGTACTGTTGAAAGTCTTGCTGTTGTGAGACGCCAAATGTCTCAGGCACTGTCTTTTGCTAAGTAAACATAAGACCGACATTCAGTTCTTGGATTTGTCTCTTCCTGGCCACTTGATCTTGAAGTGACTGTGGTACTTTATGCTTCCATTTTTTTACTTCTCTAAGGTGGGTCTGATGTTTGCTTGGGTTTTCCAAAGGCATTCTTGGACTCAATAAAAACAAATAATAATCTTCAATTCTATCAGTGATAACCTGTTCAACACTATAATTTTGGTACATGGATTTCATTGTCTGTTTTTCAGTTTCTCAGATAATTTCCTCCACAGCCAGATCTCTCCTTTTTCCTTCCTTGCTGTGTGTTTGGCCTTTAGATAGGCAGTACTGTTGGTGGTACTGGTCAGAGAAGCCTGGGCTCAGGAAAGCCTGATGTTCAAATCTTGCTGGAATGATGGTAAATTATTTGTTACAAATTAACAATTAACGGCTGTTGTATAACTCCCACTTGGCTTTGTAACTGTAGGTAATTTTACTTAACTGGAAGCACAAACACTGCATTAATAGGTATGTGTATACAAATTGTCACATACTTGTCACTGCACAGAAAAATAAGATTGCCTAAAATCAATCCAACTCCATAAAGTATTTTTAAGATATATCCCAGTGGACTAATGTAGACTTAACTTCCAGAATGTAATCTGATGTGCTGTATCACTAACTATGCTTATTCTTCAATTACTCCCATGAGCCTTTTTTGTTCCTTACAAGCAGTTGGCACAGGAGTCGTTAAAGGACTTTGCTACTAAATGCTTTTGGTAATTTGTACCTGAGCTTGACTTTTCTGATACAGTATATTGAAACACTCCTCAAAGGGTCTGTACGCCTTTGCAATTAAAAAGTGCTTTAAACTAAGAACGGAGAGCAGTGTAAACTGAGAGTGAGAAGATGAGTGTGGATGTGAACTGGACAGTGTTTGAAAGGTGGATCGTGCTGCACCTGAAGATGACGAGCAATAGACAGTCTGGATTGCCGAAAGCACAACGCCGCATTGGAAGCACCGTCTGTGGGAAGTTTTTCTAGCTGTTACGTTACTGCAGTAGATCACGAGTAGTAAGGAAGGGGATTCTGCTATTAAGGAGGTTGTCTTTGGTGGCAGGAAGAGTAGCATTCTGCTAGAACAGAGGCTTCGTCCCAACCTCATCTACATATAAACCTGTCATCAACATGTGTGTTTTGCAATGGACTGTAAAATTTTATAGGGAAAATACTGTGGGTTTATTATTTTCTTACTGCATAGGAGTATAACTGGTGCTGTCTGGGCGGGTAGGAATGGTTAGTGAGGAATTTGGAGATCCAGTCACCTGTGAGCTGTTTTGTGCTGCTTTGCTGGTTCCTAGTACTTTATTAGAAGCTATCACAACTGGTTTCTTCCCTATGCACAGTTACTCTATTAGTGCTCAGTTTAATCATTCTTCTCCAGTGGGTAATTAATTCTGCCTCCTGATGCTGCCCTCCTGCAGTATTGCCAGCAGACCCTACCTTTTGTTTTGGCAAATAAGGAAGAGGATGTAGACCAGAGGTGCTTTTAAAATGTAAATAAAAGTAATTCTTTTTACTGTAGAGTGAAAATTCAATTAATATGTGGCTAGGTTTTACTGTAATTGATGTTTCAATTAGATCTTGCTTTATGAAAACTTAATTAAAAGATCAGGTGAAATGTGACGAGATTATAG